TGACAAGTAACTAATGCTGAGTAGAGCTTTGAAGAACAGTTCAGCCTTCTTTATGGCTGCTCTAATCCTGATACTGTGGGACGCAAGGCTCAGAATGTATTAAGTTCCATTCATTCATAAAATCCTATGATTCACTGGCTTGAGATAAGCCACATCTGTACTCATAGGAGTAACCTGAAAGTTTTTCAAGTATTCATTTGATCAAGTGAAAAACTGAATTGCTCAGGCCATTAAACTAAAGCAATTTATTACATATTATAGTGTATAATGTGCATATATATGCAATATTTTAAAATATACAAAAAGTACATTAAAGAAAAAAACAGCTCATGTTGGGCACTAGTGATGTCTGACTTTAATTCCAGCACTCAGGAGACAGAGACAGCCGGATCTCTATGAGTTTGAGGCCAGCCTGGTATACAGCACTAATTCCAGAACAGCCACAGTAAAACCCTGTCTTGAAAACCTCCCCCTCTCCCATAAAAAAAAAAGAAAAAAAGAAAAAGAAAAAGAAAAGAAAAAACACATCTCTAAAAAAAGATCTTAAAGAAAGATAAACTTAAATTAATTTAAAGTACATCACACAGTTTGTTTATTAAGGTGAAAAGAGAACTTCTTTCAAAAGTTGTGTACCTTTTTATCTAGGACCTCAAGTGTGTTGGCATCAATGTCCCTAACCAAACATTCCCACAACTAACAAATTTGTCTGAGATGTTCAAAAGAAGAAATAGGAGTTAATGCCAATACTCTTCAAATTATTTCACAAAATAGAAACAGAAAGAATATTTTTGTTTTGTGAAGGCCAGTGACTATAATACTCAAACCAAATTAAGACTTAAGAAAGAAAGAATTACACATTTCTTTTTGTCACATAAATGCAAAAATTCTCAAAAAATAATTCTAAATTGAGTTCAAGAACACAACATAATGATACCATGATCAAGTAGGCTTCATCCCAGATGAAGGTGTGAATCAACATGTTTAAATCATTGAACTCCACCTTATAAACAGCCAGACAAAATCAACATGATCATCCAATTAGATGTGGAAAAGACCTTTTGTAAAATAAAACAACTCTTTATGTCATAACTTCTAGAGAGATTAGTAATATAGGGAACATATATCAATATAATAAAGTCAACTTAAAGTAATCCCATAGCCAGCATCCACTTAAATAGAGAGAAAGTTAAATATTTCCGCTAAATTCAAAACCAAGACAAGGCTGTGCATTCTCTCCATACCTATTCAATTTAGTACTAGAAATCTTCGTTAGAGCAATAAGACAACTGAAGATTAAGTTGATGGAACTTGAATGTGAAAATGTCAAAGTACCTTTATTTGCAGATGAAATGATAGTGTACATAAGTGACCCTAATAATTTCACCCATGAACTGCATAGCTGATACCACTTTCAGCAAAGTAGCTGGATACAAGATTAACTCGCAAAAATCAGTAGGTTTTGTTTATAAACGACAAATGGACAGATAAAGAAATCCAGGTAAAATCACCATTAACAATAGCTTCAAATATATTATCATTGGGAAAATTTAATGAAGCAAGTGAAAGACTTATGTGATAAAAAAAAACAATAAGACGTTGAAAAAAGAAATCAAATAAGATAGAAGAAAATGGAAAGATCTCTTATGCCTGTGGATCAGTAGGGTTAATATAGTAAAACGGCAAAGCTGTGAAAAGTCATCTGTAGATTCAATGGAATCCCCATCAAAATTTCAAAACCATTATTCACAGACCTTAAAAGGACATTTTTCAGTTTAATGTGGAAACAAACGAGAGAGAGAGAGAGAGAGAGAGAGAGAGANGTGGGGTGGGGGGAATAAGATAGCTAAAACACTTTTGAATGATAGAAGAGCTTCTGACCACAATGAGACATAGGCCCCATGCCCAGCAATAGATGGCTTATAGAAAACAAACTCAATGGCACGTTTGGAGGTTCTCTGTCTCATAATGCTGAGTCAGGGATGTCAGGGGTTTTGTTTGTTTATTCATTTTGTTTTGTTTATTTTATTTTTCTTCAGTTCCTTTGCATTAATATTATGACTTCAGTTTTGCTGGGGGAAGTGTTGCTAGTTCATCCCAGCTGCCCAGCCATGAAATAATCACTCAGAAAACCGTATTAATTAAAACACTGCTGGGTCCATTAGCTCTAGCTTTTTATTGGCTAACGCTTACATCTTAATTTAACCCATTTTTATTAATCTGTATATCACCAAGAGGTCATGGCCTACCAGCAAAGTTTCATCATGTCTATCTCTACCGGTGGGTCCTTGGCATCTCTCTGACTCCGCCTTTTTTTCTCCCAGCTTTCAGTCTAACTTTCCCTGCCTTGCTATAGGTTCCAAGCAGTTTCTTTATTCATTAATGGTAATCACAGCACACAAAGGGGACTCCCACATCACCTCCCCTTATCTGTTTAAATAAAAAGGAAGGTTTTAACTTAAGCATAGTAAAATTACACATAACAAAACAGATATTAACCAAGAATTACAGTTACAATATTTATATCTACTTTATCTTTCATTATAACTAAGTAAAACTATAACTATAAACTCTTCAACTCCATCAAAGACTCTAGAATGACATACAATGTAGTGGTTTTTATGGGTTTCCTGTGTATCTTTGCACTTGTATGTATTTCTTCTGTTTTTTTCTTTGGCTCTTTTTCCCTTATTTGTTTGTTTTGTTACATTCAAACTTTATTTGTTTTTTTCTCTTATTGTACTGTATTTTATTATTATTTGTGAGCTAGCTATTTGTTTTCTAAGGAGTAAGTTCCAGATGGGACAGCAGGTGGGGAGGAACTAGGAGGAATTTTTGGAAGGGGAACCATAATCAGAATATATTTTATAAAATATGTTTTCAATAAAATAAAAATATAATAGGCATTCATTAAATTTTGTTGACACTTAGACATTCTATTCTGTTTGAGTAAACACAAACAGAACGTGTTTCATATGGATTTAAATCATTTTTGCATTTTCTTCATTTGGAAACTGATTCATCCTTGGTTGCTCAGGCTGGCTTTGAGCTCATTGGCTCAAGTAATCTGTTTCAAAGTCTCCAGTACCTTAGGATACAAACACAACATCACTATGCATAAATTAAAATATACTTTACATCTGAATTTTTCTTATGACAGGTGCAAACATTTTTCCTTTATTCAGAGAAGATAAAAAAAAATAAAATTCAAGTCAACTGTTTGGCCAAGTTTGTATGCCAGGAAGTAGATTTAGGGCACCAAATTGGTCTTTTATTTGCGCCTACGTATTTCATCAAAAACTAAAATTGGATATTACTGTCTTATCTTCTTAACAATCTGATTAACTTTTTTGGTCCAGTTATCAGAGTAAAGAAAAATTTTGAAAGAATAATTGAAAGTTCAGTGTAACTTGTCGGCCAACCCCAGAAAACCCCAATTATTTGATACTTTTGAACTTAATTCATAGATTTCACAAGGTCAAAGATTTTGACTTCATAAACAGTTTTGGCAGACTTCTGATATTCTAGATGCAAACATTTTGTTTCTTAGGAAGTATATTACTTCTTATGGCATATGTTTTATATTTTTGGTGGACACAATAAAGGGATTGTTAGTAAAAATATAATTATATTTTTTAAAGAGAATAGGACATAGTATTACACCAGTCAGGATTATTTAATTGTATTACAAATAATCTAAAATTAATTAACCATCTAATTAAAATACTGGTAATTTTATTCCTATTTGGGGCAGATCTAATTTGAATTCATACTCACATTTTTCTTATTAGCTTAGCAAATATTTAATGGGCTCCACTGAATTAAGTGAATCACATCCATTATTGTAGGGCTGTAAATAAGCATACTAATTGGAGTAAGGGGCATCCTAGCAGATAGCAAAGTCATACATTTTATGAATAAGCAATCTTTTGAAGTTCTATTTTTAAAATGACACAAAATTATGGTAAAGTATAAAAAACAGAAAAATCCAGTGCTCATTTATTTATGTAAAAAAAATCCTCTTTTTCATGTAAGCTTCCACAAGCTGTGCTATCAAGCAAGACACACGTGGTCTGAATTTCAAATTCTAGGCACCTTCTTCTGAAAGCTAATGTGAATACTGATAAAAAAAAAGTTATCAAAATGAGTAACAGTGGGAAGAGAGGAAGCAAACCTGGACAGACTAAATGTTAGAACTGCCAGTGGAGTAAAGGGAATAAGGAACAAACATTGTGTTTTCTGCTCTGTGGTGTTAGATTTCAAAAGGATTGCCAACCAAGAAAGGCAACATTTCAATTATTTCTATAGTGTTCACTCCAAGAGAAATGATGCTTGAACTATTGATTCTCCGAGGTCTATATGTCTAACTAGGAAAAGAAGAAATGGGTGATTAACTTCTTTCTATAGATAACAGGAATTAGAGCTCTTTGATTAGGGATTTGGTTATGTTAACAAGAAAACTCTTTACAGTTAGTTGTTTCTTTCTAAAGACAATTAAAATGAGAGGAGAGCTTTGTGTACATCTTCACTGAATGATGGGACCACTCCCATTCAAAATCAATAAAAAAAAAGTATTCATAGCATACATAGTGGAATTCCACATCAGAAAAGGAGCAAGGGATCTGAGCTGAGTACCAGCGTTCATCTCTCTGCTTCCATAAAAAAAAAAAGATAACTGTCGGTGAATCATATATATGTATATATATATATACACACAGAATAAGTAGTATTTACATGTTCAGGAATATGCATGTATATGCACATATACAGGCAACAACAATTGAAAAATATACATCCAAGTTTAAAAGAGAGCAAAGAGAGGTACACGAAAAGGGATATAAGAAAGAAAGGGACCAGAGGAAAGGATGTAATTGTATTTACTTTCAAAAAGTAAAAAGAAAATTTAAAAATAAAATAAATGCTTTTGCAACAATCCAAATGAAAAGATTTGCTTGGGGAGTGGGTCTGTTTAATGCTTAAATCTCTTGGTTCTGTATTTCCAGAGAGTATCCTTTCTTGGTTTCTATGTACAGCTTCATATTGACAATGCACAACGTGCCATTCCTTGTCCATGACTGCAGTTATTTCAAGCTGGCACCCCTAACATCTAAGTTGCTGATTTTGGTATCATCGCACTTACTCTGCGACACGATAGGTCAGTGATCCTCAACTTTCCTAATGTAGTGATGCTCATCTTGTACTGACTGTCACCTATAAAACTATTTTTGTTGCTACTTCATACCTGTAATTTTGCTACCATTATGAATCATAATGTAAATATCTGATAAGGAGGAACTCTGATATGGACCCCCTGTGAAAGGGATCATGACCTACAGGTTGAGAACCATGGGTCTAGGTAGTCTTCCTTGGGAGATTAAAAACTCACTATTTTTCAGTTATCTACTTGCTTTTTTTCCCAAGAACTTGCTGCTGTTGCCAGCCTCGGCAGCTCACCACTTTTCCTCTGCACTATATGTCCACCATCAAAAATGACTGTAACTCATCCATCTGGATTCAAGTGTTCTGAAAGAGAGATGGACCGGCATGCAGTAGAAGATTAAGGCTGGGGTCTGTGGCTGAAGGCACCAACAGAATTTTCTTTGATTTCAGAGTTGCCTTCTGCATGTGCAAGGCCCAGAATTTAAACCTCAACTCCAAGAGAAACACACAAAAGGAGAGAGAGAAGGCAGGATAAAGAAAGAAGAGAGAAAATAATCTGTTCTAATATATGAAGAGACATCTATTTTTATAACTCAGACAATCCCCACTTTAGTGGATTTTCACTATGCCAATTTGATGCATATATATTCTTTTTAAAATCTGCTCTAAATACCAAGTGCATTATTTGTGACCATGGAAACATGCATATCTAATCAAATATCCAATGTCGGACTGCTATAGATGTCTTTAATGATGATACCCACTACCAGTCAGACCAGGGCTAATCTACACTCACACTAGTGGTATATGAGAGAACATATGCTTTCACACACTCACCTAACCTAGCAAAAATTTCTTTCTTTAAAGATATATATTTAGTGGGGAGTGCATTATCATTGCTTTGATTTGAATTTCCATGACACTTTGAGTGGCTTTTCATTGTTACCTTTTTAATTTCAGAACTTACTGTACATCGGCGTCTTCGTATCCCTGAACTAAATCTGAAAAGATGATAACATAGAACTGCTACACATAGAAACTTAATGTAGAAATAGAAAAGGATTGTTGTGCCAGAGCAAAAGCAGAGATTATAAATTTATACATACTTATTCTCTTCTATAATACGTTAGTCCTTTTGCATTCTGGTAACAAAGTACCTGAAATAATCAGTGTAAACATGAAAGATTTGTCTCCAAGGTTTAGAGATTTTTGTCCTTGGTCATGTGGTCACATCTTCATGACCTGTGGTAGTGCATAGCATCAGTGTGGCTGAGCAGTGGTGTGTTGTTCATTCTAATAACAGACTGAAAAGATTAAAACAGGTAGGATGGCATAAGGGATAGGGACAATCTATACATATATACAATTAATAGACACACCTCTCGTGATCTACTCCCTTTAATGTGACTTTCCTTCTAGTAGTCCATTCAGCTACAAATGCACCCATGGCTTATGCCATGGTCGCATCCTGATGATCTGATCAAAGCACCAATGACTAATGCAATCATTTGGAGACACGAGTCTTCAACAAATGAACTTTGGGTATCACTTGAAATCCAAAACACAACACAGGGCATAGCTTACTAATAGTACAATTCAGTTGTGCTCGTCCTAGCAGTTAGCTAGTTTGTATGCCTTTCCTTTCCCTTGAGTACAACATCAAAATGTGTATTGTTGCTCTCAAGGGCTGGCGAATAGACAGTAGAGCTTTGCTCATTTGGAGCATGCAGTAAATGTGTGTTGAATAATTGAACGATGAGCCCGAAGGAAATCTTTCAACCTGGAAATTAATCTTATGCCTCCCTGAATTTACTTTCTCCTAAACTATTTTCTCTTTTATAATTCAAAACAGAGCTATTGATTTGTAAAACGGTATACAAGGAAACTATTTCCGTTCACAATGTTGAAATAATGCAGTTCTCAGTATGCAATCCACAAGGCAGAGGCTAGTACAATAAACAGAATATTTGCTCAAGTAATCTGAAAATTCCCTTGTCTGAGGTAAACTTTGCTGATAGAAATAGAATGAGCTCCATTTCTGACTATAGACTTAACTACCTTAGTTGGGGGCTGTCATTTCCATTGCGTATGTCTGATAGACCGTGAGTCTTTGAGACTCAGGAGACCATTTGAGGTGACTAACTGGAGAAAACAATATCACTAACATTTTTTTAATAAAAGTTCAAGTTGCTGCATTGAATCTCCAAATTATAGCCTGAAATTAATTACTCATTTATCAATAACAGTCCGCTTAAAACATAAATAAATGTGTTGACCTACAGGGCTTCATAATGTATCACACAAGTTGTGTATTTTAGAAGGTATTTTAAAAGTATAAAAGGACAGAGAAGGAAGTTTCTTGTCCAAATACACATTATATTTTCAGCACCATAATTATTGTCATTTTCAGCACTGTGAAGCTTTAATCCAGGGGAAACTCATCAGTGGGATATGACTCAGTTGGATCTGAGAGTCCTTGAGAGGAGGAGAACTTTCTGCAGATGGTTGCTCATCTGCATCCCATAATTACAGTGTACGCTCACACTCTAATAAACCCCAAAATATATGAAGACCAACATAGTCAGTCTTCTGAGTAAGCAATAACTAATGAACATCTGGAAACGCCAAGACAGCTTATAATTGGGGAGATAATTTCCAGATCAGTCAGTGAGGCGGTAGCTGTTGATTTCTCCATGTACACACTCCAGTCTCACCTAAGAATTTAAAAATCACCAAGCACATTCAAAACATGTATTTGTACAAATTATACAACTCTGTAGTTCTAAATAGGCCATGGGGAAGTATACTTCTTAGCGCCAGACGAGCACATTATCTGTAGAGTGACTATAAACCCTGGTAAGATAAATCTATGAAAAGGTGGCTAGCTGTTTCTGTTCATATCCTTCCTATAGCAGAGCCAGTCCTGGGGTCAGATAAGCAAGTTAAGGTAAATATTTCCAGATATTGTATTTCTAATTGTCTTTTTTCATTAAATTACAACCAATATTCTTGTGTCTTTGTTTTAAATGGAATTTATATAGAGAGAGTTTGTTTAAAATTCTTACTTAGGATTCATGGAATTCTTAAAAGTAGTATTTTCTAAGCTTGATTCTTCATCTGGGACTCTTGTTCCTGGCTGTCTGGAAGTGGTCCAAGCAGACTCGCTCTGTTTTCCTTTCCTTTAGATTTTCAAACATCATTAGTACTCTGTTTTAATCAGGCACTGTGGTAACCACAGGGAAGAAATGTTTTACTCTTCTACTTAGAAAAATGAAGGTGACTTTCTTAATGACTTTTGCATGGAAACACCCACATTCGCATCTCTGGCGAAAATACTTCATAAGACTAATCTATTAGACAACAGGTTTTAATTTGCTCTTATATTCCCATACACAGTTCTAACTGTTGAAGGTGATTGACATGTAATTTGCATGCTTTCAGCAGTCACTTCACTATTGACATTCATAGTAAAATATCCCATGTGATATAAATGTAAACATACTAATAAAGAGAAATGCAAACAATGAAAATGAGGGTCCTATTTTTTTAATTTGGATATGACTACAACATTATTGATTTCCTAAGATAAGAGTCTCTTTTCTCTTTAATTTTAGATAAAAAAAAAATAGTGAAGGGTACAAAGTAAGTCAAAGTCCTTCTTTTACTTGTTTGTAGGGCTAAATGCTTAATAAGCATCATCTTATTTAAATTATAAATTAACTTTTAGGGTTGGAGAGATGGCTCAGTGGTTAAAAGCCCTGGCTGCTCTTCCAGAGGTCCTGAGTTCAATTCCCAGCAATCACATGGTGGCTTACAACCATCTGTAATGAGATCTGGCACCCTTTTCTGGCATTCTGGCACACATGGAGGCAGAATGTTGTATACATAATAAATAAATAAAATCTTTAAAAAAATAACTTTTAAAAATCAACATAAAAAGTGTAGGTATTACTTCTATCCAAACTTTATAAAGAAACTTTAGTCAAATAAATTATACCTTTGCCAGACATCATCATGACTCCATCTTTTTCTTATTTTCATATATGAATCATTTGCCTGCTCTTAGAACACTTTTCTTCTTACTGGGTTGCCTCACCCAGCCAGCTCTGATGAAGATTTCTACTTAGTTTTATTGTATCTTGTTATGTGGAATAACATCTTCAGTGGAATGGAGGGAGGGAAAACTGCAGTCAGGATGTAATGTATAAGAGAAGTAATATATATGTATATATATACACATATGTATATATATATATATGTATATATATATATGACTAAGCATTATGTGACCTGATGTGCTTTATTGTATCTTATGTTTATATTTTCTCCGGAATATGGATAAGAACAAAAATAAATACTGTCAACTGCACTCAACTATAAGCTGAATAACCAGTTACTTTGGATATAAAAATGGATTTAAAATTTCTTTTTAACTAATGTGTGACAATGATTTTTCCCAAGTAGACATTTTACACCTCCTCATTTATTTTGATGTAAAAATAATGACACATAAGGCAAAACATATCTTTCTCTTCAAAAAAAAATAGCATTCCCCTTTCCGTGCTTCAGTTTATTAGGCAATTATGAATTTGAATCTGTGATTTATTAGTCACCTGTTTTCTAATGTACCAACTATAGTTGCTAGGAGATCAAAATGTTTGGTGTTCTTTTTTTAGAAACAGAGAGTCTGACTTGCATCACTGCATGTAATCACCACTTTATGAAAGAGAATTTAAACTGGATGAATTTATTTAGGTAGGGTTACATTAAAAATTATGGAGATAGAGACAGAGACCCACACTGGAGCACCGGACTGAGCTGCCAATGTCCCAATGAGGAGCAGAAGGAGGGAGAATATGAGCAAGGATGTCAGGACCACGAGGGGTGCACCCACCCACGGAGACAGTGGGGCTGATCTATTGGGAGCTCACCAAGGCCAGCTGGACTGTGACTGAAAAAGCATGGGATAAAACCGGACTCTCTGATCATGGCGAACAATGAGGGCTGAAGAGAAGCCAAGGACAATGGCACAGGGTTTTGATCCTACTTCATGTTCCGGCTTGGTGGGAGCCTAGCCAGTTTGGATGTTCACCTTCCTAGACATGGACGGAGGGGGGAGGACCTTGGACTTTCCACAGGGCAGGGAACCCTGACTGCTCTTCAGACTGGAGAGGGAGGGGGAGAAGAATGGGGGGGAGGGAGAGAAGAGTGGGAGGAGGGGGGGGGAAAAGGGAGACGGGGAGGGAAATGGGAGGCAGGGAGGAGGCGGAAATTTTTTTTTTCAATAAAAAAAAATTTTAAAAATTATCTATTTTGTGGGTTAAGATGTTCATGTCATGAATGTGCAGAAATATGAAGGTGAATTAAGTTTGAGAGCTGGCATTATCCTTCACTATGTAGG